ACCAGATCATGTGAATCGCAGCGGGTCTTCCCATCCCGTAGACTGGGCCCACTGCTGTGTGCAGGTGTCAGGGCCGGTCACAGGCAAGCTCTGTGCCTTGGCCTCTCTCTTTCCTGCCTGAAGACGAGTGACTTAAAAACTAAGTCCCCCACCATTGTTAAAGAGTGAAAAAAAAAAAAAAAAAAAGAAGAAGAAGTATAGCCCATTGAGAAACAACCGCTCTGACACTGACAAAGGTTTTACAATCTGAGGTACAGGATCTCAGGATAAATCCTGAGGGCATTTCACTGACCTTCTCAGACCCAAAAGCTACAACTCTTGTTGCACAGGTCCTGCTTTACCTTGGTCTTAACCATCCAGCAGAAAAGTATAAAAAAGAAATATAAGAAGTAAAGCCATGCTGTTATGTTGAGCTGTAGGGGACTCGGGTCAACAATTTCTGTCATTGCCAGTCAAGCGGAAGACCCAAAACTATTATGGGCTACTGGACTCTTTTAGAATATTTTGGTGAGTTTACACACCTATAATATTCAAATAACGGAACTTAAAAAAAAAGGGATACAGATGAATGTCCATTTTGTATCTGTGTATTCAAAGTGGTTAGGATAGATAGTTACATTCTCTTAATGAATAGAAGGATTTGTTCTAATAGTGTTTGTAAATAGGATCTCAAGTCCACATCTTGTACAACAATTAACCACTAGGAAGAATGTATGCAATGTGTTAATTATTGAAACTGTCCTACCAATTTGATTTGAAACTCTCTCATTGCTATTTGTTTCTCAATAAAATCATGACAAAAAAATTAAAGCTTATCCCCTGCAGAAAATGAAAAAAAGAAAAAAGAAAGAAAGAAACAACCGCCCTAACTGCATATCCATGCGCAGTGAAGCCCAATTCCTAACAGCCAGGACACGGAGTCAGCCTTCGTGTCCATCAACAGAGAATGGAGGACAAGAACACCACGCACACACGCAGCTGAGTACTACTGTGCCGTGAGGAAGAAAGAGAGGGCATCATGTGCTGGGGCTACAGACCATCATCTTAGGGCAGTGAGGCACCCTCGGGAGGACAAATGTCGAATGTCTTCTCTCATCTGCAGAACCTAGGACAGAAGCCATGAGGCGAAAGCAAAGGCGAGGCTCCTGGAGAAGAGGAACAGAATCAGGGCAGCAGGGAGGGTCGGGATGGGTAGTCAGGCGGTGCTACTGGCATGCGTACAAAGTGGCGCAACAAGGGCTGGCCAGATAGCTCAGCGGACTAAAGCTCCTGCTTAGGCAGGGCGCAGGACCCAGAGGTTCGATCCCTGGTGTGCCATGCAGGTTTTACCCCTACAGCGCTCTGAGACAGCCATTGAGACTGGGTGTGGTGGCGCACGCCTGTAATCCCAGCACTTGGAAGGCTGAAAGCAGAAGAATAACTGAGTCTGATCTTCATAGTTAGACCCTGTAGACCCAATACTAAATACTTAAAAAAAAAAAAAAATGGCACAATGGAATCTGTTACTCTGCAGGATTACTACATACTACTAAGACCGCAGTCCTCTGAAAGACAGACTTCCAGTGACATCAGTACGTTTATCGTCTGGAAGACTCAGTTTAAACCTAAGGAGGGAAAAAGTCCTACCTCTAAGTGAAAGAAGCGTAGCGCCCAGGCCTGGTTCCCCAACTTCCACGTGCCTGGGAAGGGGGTGTGGTATGAAGGTTTTGCTTTTCTTCTTTGTGCTTAATCTGAATTTGTCAAAATAGGGATTGAAGCTGGGTGTGGTGGGGCCACTACCCAGCACTCCGGAGGCTGAAGCAGGAAGACTGCCACAGTCCAAGGCCAGCCTAGGCTACACACTGAGTTCAAAGTCAGTGTGAACTACAAAGCCAGACTCTGTCTTCCCCTCTGGTGTCTCCCGCATACTTTTGCATACATTTTCATTTTTTTCCCCCTTCTGTCCATTTTTAAAATTCTGGAATGAGCTAAAAATACACCCTAGAACATATAAAAAGAACGATATTCCCATGCTTGCCTGTTCTATCAGGGAAACTTCCCTATTAGGATAAACCAAGGGACATGAGACTCACAGCCTAGAGGGAAGGACGGCGACGCACTGCAGACAGAATTGCTAGATGCTGGTGGCTTGGGCCTTCGCGCACACTGACCTGTAGTTTCTGGGACTGCATCCCCAGTGAGGAAACTACTGTGTAAGGAAGTGCGCTTCCTGCCACCTCCCTTGTGCAGCTCTTCTCCTCCCTCCCTGTCCCTCCTCCCTTTTTCTCTCTCCCCTCCTGTGGAGCAGTGGTGGGAAGCATGGGACCCTAAGGACCCGGCCTGGTGTACTAATTGGGTCCCCAGGGTTGCTGCCCTCCCACCCAGGAGAGGTTCTGCTTCTGTGGGACTTCAGTCTGCTGGGGACATCGGTTGCTATCCCAGAGCCAGCCTGGCCCTGGGTCTCTCTGGTTCCTGTCTCACTGTGTCATCTCTTCGTCTCACGCATGCTTCTGCCATGGTGTCATCCCTGGTGCTGTGACATGACCCAGGGGCCTGCATCAGCGGTGGTAGCATGTCTCTGACCCCCCTGAAGGAGTTTCCTAAACAGACATCTCTCTCTCCCCCTTTTTCTTTTTTCTTTCTTTCTTTTTTTTTTTTGGAGACAGAGTTTCAATATGCAGTTCAGGCTACCCATGAACTCACTTTCTAGTGTAGGCTGATCTTGAATTAGACCCTTCAAACTTGAACTCACAGTGATCACCCTGCCTCAGCCTCCAGGGTGCTGGAATTACAAGTGTACACCACCACACAAGGGTTTAAAAGTTCTTGATAATCAACAAAAATCTACAACAGCCTTTGGGCAGCATACTGCCAACCCGGAACTCAGATACTCAAAGGCAAAGGAAATGAAGATCGCAGCAGGCGGGGGCGGAGCCCGCGCAGACCAGCTGGGTTAAAATCCAGGCGCTGCCACGCCCCGGCCAAGAGGCCTAGGCAGGTTTCTCGGTCTGAGTTCTCATTTGCATAAGGAGCAGGCTGACCCAGGACCTGTCTCCCCGGTTGGCATCTAGTTTAAAGGAGACCAGAGGAGGAAGTGCTTAGCGGGGTACCGTAGACGCCTGACAGGAGGTTCCAGCCACACGAGCTGGCTGAGGCTGTGAACAGGTGTCAGCGAGCTCGGCAGCCAGGGCTTTCCAAGCCTGAACGGTCACTGTTGTCCAGCCTGAAGATCACCGCAGAGCCACACCCCACACCCTAAGGCCCAGGCTCGCTGAGAAGCAAGACTTCTTTCTTTTGACACCTTGACTTTGAACAATGAAAATGCCAAGCTTCTGGGCACCCTGCCAGCAGGCACAACAGACAACATGGACTGTTTTCCCTCCCGGCCCCAATTCCCAGGATATAACTCAGAACCTGGAGGGAAACGCAAAACAATATAGCATCTGCTTGGCTTCCAGACAGTGCAATTAGCAGGGAGTGCTTTTACATCATAGTGGGGCTCTGCATTAAGTCAGGATTAATTAATTGCCACATTAAAGGAAAGCACCTTTAGCATTTCAACGGCATAATCATATGCAATTACGATCATATAAAGGAATACTTTATAATTAATGATGTCTTCACTTCCTGAAATGTGTAATCCTTGTGTCTTCAGTTCCAAAGTGGTTGTCAGAGAGAAGGCACTAAATATAGATCAGGACCTAATATTTAAATCAGTGTTTAATTCACCTTTCATTATGAACGGTGTAGCCAGAACAGAAGTGTGCAGTTGTTATGCCTCTCAGCCTTCTTGTCTCTGAGGTTCCATATTCAGCAACAACCGATCCAAATGGTCAGCAATTACAGGCCTGATATGGTTATCCCGAAGAGCAGCGATTTTGCTCCAGTAGGCCCCTTGTTTATTTTTTAGAAACTCATGAATCTCACTCCGACTTTTGCGTCTTTCGCAACTGTGGCCTATTGTTACTTAGCAAAGCACTGTTGCATCTCTGTGACGTAGAAACAAAATTAGGGAAGCTCCTCTCCAAGCTACAAATCCCATCATCATCATGATTCCCATTTTATGAATGGGGAACTAAGGTCCATGGGTTTAAAAGCCATGGCCTGGTCAGGCGTGGTGGCGCATACCTGTACTCCCAGCACTCAGAGAGACTGAGGCAGGAGGACTGCAAATTCAAGCCCAGCCTGGACAGTTTAGGGACTTAGAAAGATGCTGTCTCAAGATGAAATGTAAAAAGGAGCTGAGGTTGTGGATCAGTGCCCTGGGTTCAAAGTGAAGCACAGAGAGAGAGAGAGAGAGAGAGAGAGAGAGAGAGAGAGAGAGAGAGAGAGAGAGAGA